AATTACATGGCTGGAAACCCACCTACTATATAAAAGAATACAAACATTTCTAGTGCTTATGCAAAACTGGTGCGTTTGAAAAAATTTGCATAAAAATACATTGATAGAAATCTGATTACTGATGTTAAACTTGAATATGTATAAGCAAATTAGATTTGAAAGCAATGGTGGACAGAGGATTTTCAGCAAATAACGACACAATCCTCACACAAATCTATCATCGTATGGCTTCAGAAGACTTGGAATATTGCACATGAGTACAGGTGTCATAATATACCAGTACTGACAATTGTCTGATATTAAAATATATTTTTATTTTTATTATTATTATTATTTTTTAATATGACTGATGTTATTTTACATCATGCTAATAATGCACAAATACGCAAATAATCAAGTGTCAGCAACTGGTTGACATTCCAACATAGTAGGTTGCAAGACTGCACCAAGACAGTACTGATTGCCAACTGTCATAAAATGGAAAAAGACGACAAAGACAAGGATGAACAAGATGAACTACTGTCACATAAAATCATGTCGAAGGAGAAGACAATAAAAAAGTAACACTCTACCCTCAGCTAAAAATCTGAGCCTGCCAGTTTTTTGGATTCATTTTTTGGAATCAACAGTAAGTTCTTTTTGAACAGTTGGTTACTGAGTTTCTCAATGGCTCTGGTTACAACCAAAGACTATAGAATACCCAAGACGTGTCACTCGTATAGTTTTTTAATGGGGAAAAATGCAACGCTCAATATGTCCGCACTATTGAAGGGAGCCCCGCCTTCTGAGTAAAAGAGCCAATGACTAATTGGTAAAGTCAGCGTGTCACTGCAGCTGCCGTTAGAAGTCCCGGCTGCTAAAGAAACAGTCAGCGTTCTGAGATGTGCGCCTAGGACTGTGCATGCGCACTGGCTGGTCTAGCCTGAAAAATAAGCTTATTTTAACACTATTTGAGAAAAAGAAACAACATTTATGAGACCAATTTCATTGGTGATTTCGTATATGAAATTTTATTTTAAGCTTGGCGAACAGTTTTGGAGAATTTGATGTTTCCCTATTTAAAGAGATAGGAGCTACACTTGCATGCCCGAGAAGCGTTTCAAAGATGGCCGGCGAGTGACATGACTTGCCTTAATAAAGGGACTTTGTTACAACGTATGGTTTATCAATGGTTACAAATGCTCTCTCTTCTTCCTTACACTTGTATTTTGTGTATGATCCATTAGCCAAAAGTTTAAGATAGATTTGACTTTTTTTTTTCATTTCTATAGATATCTGGATAATATTGTTTTTGTTAAAGGGGTCATATGATGTTGCTAAAAAGAACATTATTTTGTGTATTTGGTGTAATGAAATGTGTTTATGCGAAATCTAAATTTAATTCTCTTAACTGGAGTACAAAAATATTATTTGTTATTGAATATATTTTATTTTGTGTGCTTTTTCATAATTGAAATAAATTAGTAATATAGTGAATGAATGGGGAAAATGTAATTGTTTTGAAAAGAAAATAATGTATATATATATATATATATATATATATATATATATATAAACTACTGCCCAAGGCGTTGTAATTACAGTCGTTGAGTGAACTGACTTTCCTTTGCTAAATTCTCTGATGTACTGCAGCATAAACAGTAATGTCTCTTTCATTTCCTCTGTATGCTATTACTTTTTTTCTGTTGCATTAAATTGTCTTTAAAACCCTTGGTATCTAATAATACTCTGATTCTCTCAACCTGGGCTCTGCCACAACCTCGGTGTGAATCTTGGGCCATACAAAATTCTCCTAATAAATATTTATCATTATTCTCTAGTCATCGAGGGGCTGCTGTGCTCGAGTTAAAAGCGGGCTTTTAAATCTATTGGGTCAAAACCTCTCCCTAGGTCTGTCCTGTCCCTGGAGCATTCAGCACAGGAAATCTTATTACCAGCTGGGCCCGGTGTCGGTCCAACAAATTGTTCTCCGCTACCCAGCACCAAATTCCATTTCTGAGAATCATTAGATTAGATTTGCACACAAGAGTCTGAGGCATCAGCGGATGGAGGGGAAGAGATGTGACAGTGTTAGAGAATCATAGGAATGGGGAGTTGAATGACTTATTTTCTGTACACCTTCCTTCCTCTCCCGCTCTTTCTTTCTCCTTAGCTTGCTTTCCTTTTTCCTTCCTTCTCCCATTTCCACTTCTTCTTTCCTTTGCCTTTTATACTTACCTTCTTTTTCATTTTTATCCCTTTTCCTTTTTACCTATCCCTTTTTTATTTCCTAATACTTCCTTTACCTTCCTTCTCTCTCTTTAAAAGTCCTTTCACATCATTCTTACTTCCTAAAACTTCCCTTACCTAAAACTCAATTTTTCTTCTTTTTTCCATCCTTTTCTTTTTCTTCCTTTACATTCCTTACTACTTTTCTCTTTTCCTACCTTATCCTTCCTTCTATTCTTGTTTCCTTATTTCCTTCTCTCTTTTCCTTCTTTTTCATTTCTTCTTTTTTGTTTCCTTCCTTTCCGTTTTGTTTTCCTTCCTTCTCTTCTTTTTTACTTACATCCTTTTCCCTTTTCCTTGGGGAAACAGATTGCAAACTACAGCTTTTTCCATCCTTTACCTTCTTTTTGTACCTCATTTTCCCTTGTTTCTCCCTTTCCTATATATACACACACACATACATATACACACACATATACACTACCGCTCAAAAGTTTGGGATCATTAAGACTTGTAATGTTTTTTAAAGAAGCCTCTTATGCTCATCAAGGCCGGATTTATTTGATCAAAAATACAGTAAAAACAGTAATATTATGAAATATTTTTACA